AAAATGTTTACCACTATCTCAGGGTCCCCTTGTGTTCATTTTTTTTTTTTTAATTCAAAGATCCTCAGAAGCCTCTTGTGATTTTGAAAATGTTTCAAAGAATCTCAGGGACCTCTAGTGTGGTTTTTGAAAAAGTTTAAAAGAATCTCAGGAGCTCCTTATTTTGTTTTTAAAAACATAGCCATCTTTTCACAACGAGAAACTTAGAACATGGTTAGAACAGTACATTTTTCCAAGGAAATATGGATTTTGGAATTGTGGGGCGGAGCCTAATTTCAAAATCGAATTTCTTTTCCAAATTTTCCATTTTAAACATGTTTCAAGTTTCATCTTGTGAAAAAAAGTCTACAAATATTCAAACAAAAAGACAAAATGTAAGCCCGCCCGCCCGCCCTGTCTCAATTGTGATGATTTTTTTTTATTGGTTGTTAACCACGGAGGCGGAGCTTAACTGCAAAACACTCATTTCTTTACAGGAAATGAAAAACATGTTTTTGAGTATCGTGTAATACAAAGAATACTATGTACATTAAGAAAAAAAGGTAAAATTTAAGCCCCGCCCACCCACCCCATCCTAATTGTGATGATTTTTTTTTATTCTAGAAACTTAAAACACGTTTAAATGGTAAGTTTTTATAAGGAAATATGGATTTCGCAATTAGGCTCTGCCCCTAGGTCTGCGAACAAGTGAAAATTTCGTTAGTATATAGATCAGGGAAGATGTGGGTGGGGCTTAATCTTAATATACATGATATTCTTTAAATAATACGAAACTCAAAAAGATGTCTTACATGCTAATTTCTTGTAGAGGAATAATGACGATTAAAGAAAATCATCACATTTGAGACAGGGCGGGTGGGCGGGGCTTATATTTTGGCGTTTTTCTGAATATACGTACTCGTCTTTTCAGAACAAGAAACTTAAAACATGTTGAAAATGGTAAATTCTTGTAGACAAATATGGATCTTGCAATTAAGCCCCGCCCTTCGATCTGACAACGAATGGAAAATTCGTCACAATTAAGAATTGAGATCGGGGCGGATATGGGTGGGGCCTAATCTTCGGCTTTATTTTTTTCTTAATATAAATAAGTATTCTTTGAACAATGTGCTACTCAAAAACATGTTTTTAATTTCCCGTAGAGAAATAAGGATTTTGCAGTTAAGCCCCGCCTTCTTGGCTAACGACGAATAAAAAAAATCATCAGAATTGAGACAGGGCGGGTGGGCGGGGCTATATTTTATCTTTGTTTTTTAATATATGTAGACTTATTTCAACAACAAGAAACCAAAATGGTAAATTTTTGTAGTAATCAACTTAAATCCTCCACATTTCTTCTGCTACACCTTTAAATAAGGAGTCCGAACCCCTTGTGATTAGTTTTTGAAAAAAATTGAAAAAATCTCGGGAGCCCTTTGTTGTGATTTTGAAAATGTTTAAAAGAATGTCAGGAACCTCTGGTGATGTTTTTGAAAAAATCTGAAAAGAATCTCGAGGGCCCCTTGTGTTGTTTTTGAAAAATTTTAAAAGGATCTCAGGGGCTCCTTGTTGTTTTGAAAATGTTTAGCACTATCTCAGGGACCCCTTGTGTTCAGTTTTTTTTTTAAATTGAAAGATCCTCAGAAGCCTTTTGTGATTTTGAAAATGTTTAAAAGAATCTCAGGAGCTCCTTATCTTGTTTTTAAAAACATCGCCATCTTTTCACAACGAGAAATTTAGAACATGGTTAGAACAGTACATTTTTGCAAGGAAATATAGATTTTGGAATTATGGGGCGGAGCCTAATTGCAAAATCGATATTTCTTTTACAAATTTTTCATTTTAATGTTTGAAGTTTCATCTTGTGAAAAAAAATTTACACATATTAAAACAAAAAGACAAAATGTAAGCCCGCCCGCCCGCCCTGTCTCAATTGTAATGAATTTTTTTATTGGCTGTTAACCACGGGGGCGGAGCTTAAATGCAAAACACTCATTTCCTTACAAGAAATTAAAAACATGTTTTTGAGTATCGTGTAATACAAAGAATACTATATACATTAAGAAAAAAAGGTAAAATTTAAGCCCCGCCCACCCACCCCATCCTGATTGTGATGATTTTTTTTATTCTTAGAAACCTAAATAACGTGTAAAATGGTAAATTTTATAAGGAAATATGGATTTTGCAATTAGGCTCCGCCCCTAGGTCTGCAAACAAATGAAAACTTCAATACTACTTAGATCAGGGCAGGTGTGGGTGGGGCTTAATCTTAATATACATAGTATTCTTTGAATAACATGATACTCAAAAACATGTCTTACATGCTAATTTCTTGTAGAAGAATAACAAGGACGATTAAAAAAATCATCACATTTGAGACAGGGCGGGTGGGCGGGGCTTATATTTTGCCTTTTTTTTAATATACGTACTCGTCTTTTCGGATCAAGAAACTTAAAACATGTTTAAAATGGTAAATTCTTGTAGACAAATATGAATCTTGCAATTAAGCCCCGCCTCTCGATCTGACAAAAAATGAGAAATTCATCAAAAATTTCATTCAGAAACATGTTTTTAATTTCTCGTAGGGAAATAAGGATTTTGCAGTTAAGCTCCGCCCTCTTGGCTCACGACGAATAAAAAAATCATCACAATTGCGATAGGGTGGGTGGGCGGGGCTATATTTTGCCTTTTTTTCTTAATATATGTAGACTTATTTCGACAACAAGAAACTAAACTGGTAAATTTTTGTAGTAATCGACTTAAATCCATCACTTTTCTTCTACAACCTCTTTAAATAAGGAAATCGAACCCCTCGTGATTAGTTTTTGAAAAACATTGAAAGAATCTCGGGAGCCCTTTGTTGTGATTTTGAAAATGTTTAAAAGAATCTCAGGAGTTCCTTATTTTGTTTTAAAAAACATAGCCAACAGCAATAAACTTAGAACATGGTTAGAATAGTACATTATTGCAAGGAAATATGGATTTTGGAGTTATGGGGCGGAACGTAAGCAAAATGGATATTTCTTGGTACAAATTTTCCATTTTAGACATGTTTCAAGTTTCATCTTGTGAAAAAAAGTCCACACATATTAAAACAAAAAGACAAAATGTAAGCCCGCCCACCCACCCTATCTCAATTGTGATGATTTTTTTTTATTCACTTTGAACCAAGGGGGCGGATCTAACTGCAATTTTTACAATCTTTACAAGGAATTAAAAACATGTTTTTGAGTATCGTATAATTAGAAAAATACAATGTGCGTTAAGAAAAAAAAAGGGCGAAATATAAACCCCGCCCACCCACTCCATCCTAATTGTAATGATTTTTTTTTTTATTCTTAGAAACTTAAAACACGTTTAAAATGGTAAATTTTTGTAAAGAAATAGGGATTTTGCAATTACGCTCCGCCCCCAAGGTCTGCGAACAACTGAAAACTCCATTACTATTTAGGTTAGGGCAGGTGTGGGTGGGGCTTAATTTTAATATACATAATATTCTTTGAATAACACGATACTCAAAAACTTGTTTTTAATTTCTCGTAGAGAAATAAGGATTTTGCAGTTCAGCTCCGCCTTCTCGGCTCACGACGAATAAAAAAATTAATTACAATTGAGATAGGGTGGGTGGGCGGGGCTACAAGTTGCTTTGTTTTCTTAATATGTGCAGACTTATTTTGACAACACGAAACTTAAAAACATGTCTGAAATGGTAAATTTTTGTTGTAATCAACTTAAATCCTCCACTTTTCCTCTACAACTCCTTTAAATAAGGAGTTTGAACCCCTTCTGATTTGTTTTTGAAAAAAAAAGAAAGATCCTCAGGGGCCCCTTGTTGTGATTTTGAAAATTTTTAAAAGAATCACTAAGAATGAAAGGTGTTGTTTTTGTGAAAGTCTAAAAAGAAAGTTTTGATTAAAATGTTCAAAAAAATCTCAAGGACCTCTTGTGTTTAGTTTTTGAAAAAATTTGAAAAGTTTGGAGGAGCTAAAGTCTGGTTTTTGCAGAGTTCGAAAAAATCCTTTGTTTTATTTTTGAAAAAAATTTAAAAAAATCTCAGGGTTCCCTAGTAAGTCGGTCTTTAAGCGAAAGAATCTCCGGAATGGTATGTGTTTTATTTTTAAAAACAGTTTGAAAAAATTGTGAGACTCCCCAGTATTTATTTTTTAAGAAAATGGTGAAAGAAGTTGTGTCTACGTAAATTTGGGCCACTTTTTATAAATGTTGGAAGTAAAATTCTTCAAACTATGAACAAAAAAATCGTTTTACTAGTTTTAAAATGTCATTGAAAATGTGTATTCAATTACTTCAAATATTGTAGAGTACGTTAATAATAATAATAATATAAATTTATTGACTAACAGAAGAAATGTTTCAAAATAGAAAAAGTTGAAAGCGACACGTTTAGGGCCGGTTGCATAAACGCAAATCAAATTTAATCTGTGATTAAGAACAATTGTAACTATGATAATAACAATCGTTACTATGGAGTTAATCAGAGATTAAATTTGATTTGCGTTTATGCAACCGGCCCTTAATGCAATAATTATCACTCTGTGCATGGTACGTCAGTAATTACCGCGCACATTGCTTGAAAAAACACACAGTATTCCAGGAAACCGATAAGTGTATGTGGGCAAACACCGATAAGTAACCAAGTCACTTTTGTTTCGACTTGAACAAACAATCCATACGATTAAACATTTACGATGCACAAGCCGCCAATAAAAAATAAATCTTCCCTCGAATCATAAATCACCAAAACGTACGATATTAAGACATAAATCCCCACACAACCCAATCTTTGGCCATCGTTTTGCAAGCACAGCCGCCAACTCCTCCCCCGTGGCTGTTTCGCCCCGAAATAAAAGAAACTTTCATTTATAACCCAATAAATTCGAGCTTAAACAAGCAGTCAGTCGCGACTCAAACAAACTTTCGGGCATAAAGTTCGTCCCATCGAACCGAATTTAAAATTTCCAACTAAAAAACTGTACATTTCAACACTTTTCTTCTTTTTCCAGCATCCTGTTCGCCGATATCGTCGGATTCACGGTATTGGCATCGCAGTGCACCGCCCAGGAATTGGTGCGACTCCTCAACGAATTGTTCGGGAGATTCGATCAGCTAGCGAACGTAAGTAGGGAGTTTTCGGCTAAAAATAGCGATTTTTTAGCGACGTCGCGCATTAAAAATGTATGTGTGTTGATTATGTTTGCGCGCAAAAGACACAAGTTAATGTATGTACATTTTTATGTGGGTAAACACGCTCCGGTGCGGCTGTGTTTTCGGTAAACAAATACCGGAATATTGTTTTAATTCGGATGGGGTTTTGACGGGTAGTCAGAGGGTTGTCGGTATTGATGTTGTAGACATGTGCTTGTACGGACTATTTTTATCGACGTTTACAAATACGTTTCGAATCGTTTCCCTACCGCAGTTAAATATAAACGCCGAACGGTAAATAAACTTATCTAATCCAAAGACCGAGACTTCAAAGGCGCTTTGACAAATTGGAGCGGGTTCCAACGGCCGTATTTACGCCACAACCTGCGTTCGATAGTTTTGTTTAAAAAAATTCTATCGGACAATTCTACACCTGTAAGTTCGCATTTTTGCGTCGTGTCCTCGATCGATAAACGCGTAATTTAGCAGCCGTTCCAGGCATAACTCACTCTTATCGTCGTCGAAATTTTCGCCCCCGTTCGAAAAACCCACGACTCCCTAGATCGCCCTTTGTTTAAGCGTTCTAGCATTGTTTAAGTATATTATAGTTGGACAACCTGTACGGACAATCACTTTCCCATGTAGAAAAGAATGAATATATATTTTACATCTCACTCGCTTCACTATGAAGTGGTGGTACCTTACGAAAGGGGGTAAAAATAGTCCGTAAACACGTGATGTCGATAAGATAGTAAACGTAAAAGTAGTATTAATCAGTACGTTGTACGGGGAGCAGTCACAAAATAAGCAAACGTACGTGTTGAAGACTTTACTGTAATATATGTATATGTAGTGCATACCTGTTTCAAGGTTAAGGTAACAAAAATTTAATATTATCGCGGTATACCTATTATCCATGAACTGCATGGCTAACAAATATGCGTCCCTTCGCCCACTTTAAAGGTATACGAAATTAAACGACCACTACTTTAATTAATAAGTAACAAGTCATCTAATTTGCCTCCAGAATAACTATGGATTATCATCAAACTATGAAAACCAAATTAATTCAATTTGAACATCTTCTTACGTATTCTTTTTAGTAACAGTAGTCAAATCATTAAATACATATTATTTTTGAAACTAAAATGCATTTTATCCTAAGATTGTATCACAAAATATTAATCACCATTTAAATATATACGATTTAGACATCAAGAAATAAATTTAAAATTGCAAAAATTATATCTAGCAGACTTAAAACAGCCTTAAATGTGTCTTGTATGTAAGTGCTTATCAGTATATAGGCATTTTAACGCACAGCAATAATCGTTCTTGATGAGTAATGACTGATGACTACTGTAACACAGTAAATCCTCCAAATCGAAAATTTAAAACACTGAAAATTTCAAATATGGGAAAATTGTAAAATCGAGAAATCCAAACATAAAAAAATCAAAAAAATAAAAATTGGAAAATCTAAAATTTAAAAATCGAGAAATTGAACAATCGGTTAATTCAAAAATCGAAACATCGAAAAATTGGAAAATCGAAAAATAAAAAAAAATGGGACAATCGAAAATTTAAAAATTGAAAAGTTAAAATTGAGAAATCGAAAAACTGAAAAATCACAAAATTGAACGAAATATCAAAAAATTAGGAAATTAAAAAAATTGAGAAACAGAAAAGTCAAAAACGTAGAGTCTAAAAATCCCAAACTTAAAAAATCGAAAAATTGAAAAATCAAAACCCTGAATAATCGAAAAATTGAAGAAGTGAAGAACTGAAAAATCGAAACTTTAGGAAGTGGAGAAATGGGAATATAAAAAAATAGATTAATTGAGAAATCCGAAAATTAAAAATTCAGAAACGTCAAAATTTGAAAAATAAAAAAATATTGAAGAACTGAAAAATCGAAAAATCTAAAATTTAAAACATTGAAAAGTTAAAATATCCTAAAACTGAAAAATGGAGAAATCCAAACATCAAAAAATAAAATTCTAAAATTTAAAAATCGAAAAACTGAAAAATCAACGAATCGAGAAGTCGAGAATTTAAAAAATTGGAAAATTGAAAAATCGGATAAATCAAAAATCGAACCATCGAAAAATCGAGAAACCGAAAAGCAAAAAATCGAAAAACCAGCAAATCGAAAAATCGAAACATTGTAAAATTCAAAAAATAAGACATCGAGAAATCTAAAAATCAAAAGACAAAAAAATCGAGGAGTCGAAAAATCGAGAAGTCGAAAAATCAAAAAATTGAGAAACCGAAATAGGCCAAAATCGAAAAATCGAGAACTTAAATATGGAAAAATTGATAAAGCGAGAGATTGAATAATCAAAACATCGAAACATCCGAATCTCAATAAATTGAGATCTCAAAATATTAAAAAATTTGGAAATTTAAAGAATTAAAATATAGAACTGGAAACTCGAGAAACCGAAAAATCTAGAAATTTAAAAATTAAAATATGGAAAAGTTGAAAAATTGAGAAATTAAAATAAAAAACAAAAAACTGAAAATCCAAAAATAAAAATTAGAAAAATCTAGAAGTCGAAAAATGAAAGAATCGAAGTATTGAAAAATATCAAAACTGAAAGAAATATCCAAAAATTGAGAAATCGACAAACCAATAAAGCGAAATCGAAAAATCGAAGAATTGAAGAACTGAAAAATCGAAACTTTGAGAAGTGGGAAAATCAAAAATAGATTAATTGAGAAATCAGAAAACTGAAAATTTAGCGCAAAAATTTGAAAAATTGAAAAATTTAAAGACTGAAGAACTGAAAAGTCAAAAAATCGAGAAATCGAAAAAACTAAAATTTAAAACAATGAATAATTAAAATATCGCAAAATTGAAGATTCGACAAATTCAATTCAATTTGAAAAATTGAAAAATCGAGGCATTGACAAAATGGAAAATCCAGAAATTGAAAAGCTCAAAAGAAAAAAATCGAAAAACCCAGAAATCCAAAAATCAAAACATCGAAAAATTCAAAAACTGAGACTTCGAGAAATCGAAAAATCGAAGGATCGAGAAATTGAGGAGTCGGAAACCGAAAAGGAAAGTTAAAAATTGAAAAATTGAGAAATTGAACAATCAAAACAACGAAACATCTGAATTCGATAAATTGAGAAATTAAAAAATTGAATAATCGAAAAATTTTAAAAAATAAAAACTAGAAAATCGAAAATTAAAATTCAAAAAATCGAAAAATTGAAAAATTGAAATATAGAAGAACTGAAAACTCGAGATATCGAAAAACCTAGAATTTTAAAAAATGTAATATTAAAACATCGAAAAGTTTAAAAATTGAGAAATCGAAGCATTAAACAGTCGCAGAATTGAAAAATCTAAAGTTTACAATAAATTGAAAATCCAAAAAGTAAAAAATCGAGAAATCAAAAAAATCCATCAATTCAAAAATCGAAAAGTCGAAAAACTGAAATATTGAAAAATCTCATAACTGAAAGAAATATTAAAAAAATTGAGAAATAAAAAAATTGGAAAATTGAGAAATCGAAAATCTAAAAAAGCAAAATTGAAAAATCGTAATCTTAAAAAATCGAAAAATTGAAGAATTGAAGATGTGAAAAATCGAAACTTTAGGAAGTCCAGAAATGGACAAATAAAAAAAAAATACTTTAGAAATCGGCAAACTGAAAATTTAGAAACGTGAAAATTTGAAAAATTGAAAAATCGAAATATTTAAAAACCGTAAAATTGAAGAGGACAAAAATTGAGAAATCGTATCATTGAAACATCGAAAGATTGAGAAATCGAAAAATAAAAAAATCAAGAAATAGAAAATTTAAAGAATGGAGGAATCGGAAAAGCCCAAAATTGAAATATTGAAAAATTGAGACATTTAAAGTTGAAAAATCGAGAAATCGACAAGCCGAAAAATCCCAATATCGTATTTAGGTATAAATCACAAGATCAGGACTATTCTACTTTTTAAAATTTAAATAACATTATAAATTGGAAAATGTTGATTTTTTTTTCGAAAATCTTGACGTCTAAGGTGAAAACTCGACACGGATGCATAAACCGTAAACGGGGCGAATTTACAATTTTACTATTGTAAAATTTGGAGATTGCGTCATTTCATTGTTCGTGACAAATTTTGGTGAGTGTAATTTGATAATACAATTTGAAATGTAAATTTTGTCATTCGGGAACATTATGTATTAAATCGTTAAGATGTTCAAGAACTTTGTTCACTTATTCGTTGTAAAGTCCAATGGTCGAAATGGGTTAGTTCTTCGTAGTGGATGTGTATCAGATCAACTCTAATGAATATCGGTTTATAGATAAATGGCTTAAAGCCGATATTGGCCTGAGTGTGCTTTGGTCTGTAGATCAAACAAGTTCTCAGGCGACGAAAAATTGATTTTGGAGGGAGACTTTGGATTACAAATAGTGCCAAGAAAGACATATTTGGGAGAGATGGATTTTCAGGTGCTTGACTAGCGGTAATTTTAAATTGTTTGCTGTCGTTCGCGATGTGAAGAACACAATTTCATTAAAATGATAATTATAAAATTATCATAATCACTATTGGTGTTAATTAACACAAAATGGCGCGCAAGTTATCAGTTGATTTCGTTAATAAATTCATAGAAACCTATATGGGATTTTTTCAGGCCTTAGAAAATTAAAAAGTAAAAAATACAATAACAAAAATTTTAAAATGCGGTTTACGAAAAATTAGTTGACCTGTGCAAAGAAGAAAATTTTGGAAACGCTGACAAATACGACATCTCAAAAAAAGTAACACTTGAAGAAGTGCTTTCGGCGTAGTATTTTTGATGCTCGCGTGAACAAAATACTCTATGTTAGTGTGCAGTGCGCAAAGAGTTAACTGTGCAGATCTAGCCGAAAATCCGAAAACCAGATCGCTCTGTGTAGGGCCAGCATAATGGAAGTAATAAATCATCCCATCGGTTGAAGAACGTTGGGTCGG